AATATTATGAAATAATTGTTTTTGTTTTTTAAAAAAAAACTTTACACAAGAGAAAGTATAAAATATTTATCAGAATTAAAGCACACATACATATTCAAATGTATTGGTTTTTTCCAATAATTTTGAAAAGACCGAATTATTTATGATATATATAATACGAAACATAAAAACATATTAGTCCAGTTGAATAAATTAAACATATTTGCATGATTATTTTTTCTTGTTTTCATTTGAATTCCTATCTTTTCATCCAAAAATATCTGCTTTAGAAAAATCAAAAACCCATAAGCAAAAATTTCTGTGTTTCGTTCTCATAAACAAATAATTTTATCATAAGTGACTATTTAAGTCACCTTCACTTTAATTTCATATTCCAAAAAGGAATAAAGGGTAAACAACAAATAGTTGATTGCAAATGATGATTGTATAAATGGTCATACACACAACTTTGCCATTTGACCATGTACATTATTGAACAATACTGTCACACTCTTATCACAACATTATCAGTAATTTTATAATAACAATGAAATGTCTAAAAAAATTCAAACTAAATTGAATTAAATTATCTCCCAAAATAAAAACATCTTTATCCACTCATATACAAAATATTATCCAATTTGTTTTCTTTCTTAAAATTATTATGTACTTGACGAGTTGCTTTTTAATTATCCTTATTGGTATTTTTGTGATGTACAGTCGAATTAGGTCTACTTGTGATAGTATTTTTTATGGAAGTGATATGATTTTTATAAAATGTACAACATTTTTGATAAAAATGATGAATTAATTGAGAAGTGATAGTAATTTGTTTGAAAAATTATGAGTATTTTTTATAAAAGTGATAAATAATCGTAAAAAATGATGATTTATGGTAAAAAATGATGGGAAATTATATCAAAAGTGATGGATTTTTCTCAGAAATGATGCAATCTATAAGAAAGTGACCAATAATATTTTAAAAAAGTTTATGATTTTTAACACTTGTGACAGATTATTTTATAAATATATAAATGTCGTTAATTACGGAAACTTCCCGTTATTTTAAACAAAAAATAAAATAAACATGAATAAACATAAAATAATACAAAAGATGTGTTTACATTGATTTTTCTTTGATTTATTTGTACTATAAAAACAACTTTAATATGAACAATAATCAAATGTCCCATTCACTCACATATCTTGATGCAAGAGATCCAATTGTTCGAAGCGATTATATAGAAAAACCTCCACAACTTCTACAAGGTGAGCCCGTGGAATCGCGACGTATTATTCCTTTTATACCACCACAATCCGAAAGAAGAAAAAGAGGACGACCAAAAAAGAATGTAACAAATATTACACAAATCAAAAGATCATACAAAAGAGTATTGCTTTCTGATAAGTTTGAATTAATTAAATTATTTCGAAAATATGGAGATACTGTTGAACCAGAATTCTATAGTACCAAAGTTGGTATTAAGGTTAACACTTAAAATAATTTGTTAATAAAATTGAGAAAGGGGGAATCAATTTTGCCTAAAAATCACTACAGAAGAAAGAGCCGTGTAATACCATTTCAAAACCTTGTTCAAAAGATATTAGAAAAAGACAGTACTGAATCTGTCTCTAATATTAGAAGACATATTAAATATATTACAGCAGGAGCAAATGTCAGAAATTTAGAAGACGTTTCTCTTGTTACAGAACAAGAGTTTGAAGCTGGATATCACAGAAGATTTAATGAACCTCTTACTCCAGAATCACTTAATCTGGCAGATTCTTTAATACCATCCGTAAGTTCAATTACAAATTTCATGCGTGGTAAAACGGGAAATGAAATGGGGAGGACATTTCCCATATTAAGTTTCAAGAAAGAAACAACACGAGGAGCCGTAGCTAATACTCCGGATAACAAAGAAAAAAGAGTTGAAGCCATCGAAAAATTAGTCGGAATGATGCATCAAGGATACACCTGGGTGTGCATTGATGAGTCTTCTTGGCGAATAGCCTGTACTTCTAGTTATGGATGGAGTCCAATTGGAGAAAAAATGATTGTCACCAAGGCAAAGAATGGTCAACGGCTTTCTGCATTGACTGCAATTGACCACATGGGCATGAGTTTTAGCCTTATAGTTGCTGGGGAAAGTGACGCTGAAATATTCAATCGTTATATCCAAGATGTCATGAAACATTATGATGATAATAATATAAACGCTGTTTTTTGGTGCGACAATTGTTCCATTCATAACGATTTAGAACAACTTGTTGAACATACACATCATACTGTTATTTTCAATGCGGCTTATAGCCCAGAATTGAACCCCATAGAAAACATTTTCGGAATTTGGAAACGAAAAGTTGAAAACGAAATCAGAGTATGGTCGGGGTTGGAAGATCTGCTTTGTAAAATAAAAAATGGTTTTGTAAATATCCAACCCGCTGATGTAATAGCTTCAATGGAAAAATGTAGAAATGAAGTTTGGTCTCTTGTTTATACTAGAAGTGATTTATGAATTATTTTATTTTTTGTTTAAAATAACGGGAAGTTTCCGTAATTAACGACATTTATATATTTATAAAATAATCTGTCACAAGTGTTAAAAATCATAAACTTTTTTAAAATATTATTGGTCACTTTCTTATAGATTGCATCATTTCTGAGAAAAATCCATCACTTTTGATATAATTTCCCATCATTTTTTACCATAAATCATCATTTTTTACGATTATTTATCACTTTTATAAAAAATACTCATAATTTTTCAAACAAATTACTATCACTTCTCAATTAATTCATCATTTTTATCAAAAATGTTGTACATTTTATAAAAATCATATCACTTCCATAAAAAATACTATCACAAGTAGACCTAATTCGACTGTATTATGAAATATGAAAAAGTGTATTCAAAAAAGTGTGTCAGTTCAAATATTAATTCGCAAATTCCAAAAGATAAGTTTGTTTAAAAACATCGAAAACAATCAATTAAAATATTCAATTGTAAGATAAAGTGGATCTAAGAGTGTGGTTCTAAGAAATCAAAAGAAGTCAGAAATAATTTCTGTGTTGTAAGAGGTTATTTGTGTTGTTTTGAAGTTATTCGTTTTGATCGAAAAAAGTTTTTGTGTAATAATTTAAAATTGTTTCATTCCAGTTCGTATTTCTAAAATAATCTAGATGTCGTATTTTTAACATGTTTTAATTTTGGAACTGATCTGTTAATTAATTGAATAATATTTAACAATTCATTTGTTCAGAAAAAAAAATAAAATTTGTCTGTTTATTTATAAAATGCTCTATTTTTAAGAGTTGCGACCCGATTTTGTGGCCTAAAAATATTTGGCACATCCATAGTAATTTGGGATACCCTGGTTGGAATTATTTTTTTTGTTTATCATATCTTTTAGTTTTGATTTCATTAGTTTAATCAAATCAATTTGCTCTATAAAAAGTTTAAAAAAATTAATAAAAATTCCAAAATAAAAAAATAAGTCATCAAGCATTTAATAATTCTTAAAATACAAGTAGATTTTATAAAAAACAACAGATTAAGGTACCACTGATGTGGCATTAAATTTTTTGAATACAATTTGAAACACACACCTTATTAATTGATTTGTATTGTCGCTCGTGTATATGTTGTTTAAAAGATAACCATTGTTTTTATTATACAAAGTCGAGTTGAAAAATAAATAGTGAAACTTTTATTTTCGCAGCGGTAACTATAGTAAAAGTAAGAAAAATATTTTATTTGTATTTAATATGTTTGTGCTTTTCGTTTTTGCAATTATGAATAATTAGATTGTATTTTGCATAATAAAATAAAATAAAATAAATCGAAAATCATAAACATCAAATTATTTCATTCATTGAAAAAAATTGAATTTCTTAAATATATTAATAATTTAAACTAAATATTTTAATTAAAATTTTTATTTAAAGAGTTTCAACCCATTATAACATTTTGAGTTTTTTGACGTTTTGTATTTCTATTTTTTTAATTTATAAATAGTTTATATTATAATACATTTATAATAAAAAAATAATAAACTATATTATATATATAGTTATTATTAATAACTTTAATTATTCAACCATTTTTCAAAATAGAAACAAAGAACTAGAAAAATAGAAAATGAACCAACGTATTATAGATTTATTTAACACTACATTTCAAAACATCACCGCCCTCACAACTTTCGACACAACCAAAGAGCGAACAACCCTTCAAGCAAAAAAAGAATCTGAGGACGCCTATCACAACTCAGAAGACTACAAACACCTTTTGCAGCAAATTACATTGAAAAAACAAAAAATTTCCGAAAACGACAAAGCAATTGAACACAACAAAGAACTTGCTGTTCTTAAAAACAAAATCGACTCGGATAAGCACCACCTTCAAATTTGTGTAGCTTTGAAAACGCTATTGACCACACGGTTCGTTCGTTTAAGTAATTAAGATAAATAGTATTAGTATACTATACCACGAAACCATTCACAATTAGTATTCAAGTCGAAACAAATCTCGCAATCGTTTCTTCAACGTCGTGTACAGAAGAATCCCTCAAGGATTTGTTATCATCTTTAAACCTCTACTCCCTCTCGCTTTCTCAAGAAATGCCTTCCGAACTGACAAATCAATTCACGGAGTACAAAGAGACGTATCAGACTTATCTGAACAAGTCGATGAATGTTGTTTCCATGAAACTTTCCAACTTGATGAAGTCCCAAAATTTCCCGAAGAGTCCATTAACGGAAACAACAAAAGTGAAGAGCTACACCGACTTTTTACAGTCACATTTGTTTGCTCAAACTACACCAAAAAGCGCGTTGTCGAACGCTTTGATGACATCGACGATCCTTTTGGTACAACAACTTTTCCAACGCGAAGACTCGAAGTTGTACGCATACACATCGCTTGACTTGGTAATACCATACATCAGAGA